GAGGAAACAACTCAACACACCTGAATCCCCAGGAGCATTTCCCACCAGCAGGCAGGATCTACCTCCCATCAGGAAACTGAGTCTCCAGAAACAGACGGCCCCACAGACACACAGAGGGCATCAGCCATGAGACTGGGCTCTCCAAACCATCTTCTCTGACTGGATCCATCTCTGTGAGCTGCCTATGTACCACTAGACAGCCAGAGCATAGTACAGCTTGGACATCGTGCCCCTCCTCCCCTCTGTCTCCGACCCAGTATCCAGTCCTGCCCTTTGTCCTTCCCAAAACTGTGCACACAGCTCAGATGTTATCAGATTCCACCTGGTCCATGGCCCAGCCCCAACCCAAGCCTCCTATATGCAAAGTCACTTCTACTGTTTGCTGTACATCCTGTACTCCTCCTAGCCTCCCTTCCTTCACCCGGACATTTCTACCTACCCCTCCCTCTCCTTCAAAGTCCAGCTGTGACGTACCCGCTCCAGAACAGCTCTTGTGGTTGTCCTCAGTCCTCCCTCGTCCACCTACCCCCTTGGGTCCACAGTTCAAGTTCCCAGGCCCTGGGCAAGGACTCACTCCTGGCAATTGCTGTCGAAGCTGAAGATGCATTTCTGCAGACTGTCCAAGGTCATGAGGCTGATGTGCTCAAACATGTCCAGACGGGCACTGCCCTCTGAGGCCAGGCGCTGCCACTTGGCCTGGACAGAGAAGGGGACAGGGCTGGAGGACTGGGCCTTGACTCTTTGGAGCCCCTCCCCAACCCCAAACATCAGGATGGACACATTCAGAGCCAGCCTCTTGGTCCTATGGCCCAGGTAGCCATCCCCAGGGAGGACCCAGCTTGGGTGAAAGCAGAAGCTTTTACTATTAGGAGATGAAGACCCCATGGCTGGGAACAAGAGACCTGAGCTGACATTTCAGCTCTGCATCCTATGCTGAGTGTGCCCTTGGGTCCCACCTGTCAAATCTTCAGGAAGATTTAAGTTGACCTGCTTTGGTACCAGAAAACCGGGTTAGAATCCCTGCTCCACCACCCGAGGACTCAGTACATGGGTAGACTTGAGCAGGCCCTCTAATCTTTCTGGACATCAGTTTCCTCTTCTGTAATAGGGTAAGAAGAGACTCTAACTCACAGGAGCATTAAAATTAAATTGGACAATTTATATCATGTCACTGGCACAAGGAATCCTTTCTGTCACATAGTGAGTGCTCAAAAATGTTGGCTTTCCACATCTTTATTGTTATAAATGGACTGCAAAAATATCCCTATGTTGGTAGAGGTAGTCTTCCTTGGGCCCTGAGCATCCTTGCTGGGCATGTCAAGAATGCAAAGACCTGTGATCTTAACCTGGGTCATTTCTTCACCCTGTGTTTGAAGAGAAGAACCTTGAGGGATAAGGTAATGATTCCCC